TGATTATATAATGGTAAAGAGAGAGGTGAAGAGACGTATGTACGTTGATACAATCATGCAATGGTCTGGAGGGACGGAGAAACACCTATCTGATAGCATGATTATATAATGGTAAAGAGAGATATGAAGAAACGTATGTACGTTGATACAGTTATACAATGAAAGAAGAAACATTTATCCGATGGTATGATCAAGAACACTGTCCGGCGGCACGATTATACAATGATACAGAGACATACCTGTCAGATGGTATGGTTATACAACGGTGAAAAGAGACTACGAACATTTGTCCAGCGGTACGATTATACAGTACTGATGTACAGTTACATAATGGTAGAGGCAGAGACAAAGAAACATCCATCTGATGGTACAGCTATGCAAAGATAGAGAAAGGTTAGAAACACTTATCCGATAATATAGTAATGTAATTGTAGAGACAGACAGACAAACTGCTGTCTGTTGCTACATTTATACTGTGATATAGAGAGAGTGACGGAGGAATATGTATCTGAAGGTACTATAAGGCAATGATAAAGAGAGGTGAATAAACATCTACACGTTGATACATTTATACTGTGATATAGAGAGAGTGACGGAGGAATATGTATCTGAAGGTACTATAAGGCAATGATAAAGAGAGGTGAATAAACATCTACACGTTGATACATTTATGCAGCAATAAAGAAAAACAAAAAACTCACTCATTAACAAATTTAACTTTTTGCCCCAGTATTATAAAATACAAATAAAATTTCACACGCACACACACATATACATGAATTACGAAAAGAAAGCCGAAATAACATTCACTTTGCAGAGTTTTACAATTGTTAAGCGATAAATTATCGAAAGAGCTAACACCTAGAATCGTTAAGCAAGACTGAAGATTTCGGACAATGGGAATTAGGTCATAAAAAACAGTAATAACACACCAGCATAACAACGCACGAAAAAAAAAAATTGAAGGATTTACAAAACACACAAGGAACCCGACCAGTTTCGACAGGCCACGTTTGTCATTCTTAAAGGAAGGAGTAAAACTGTGTCATGAGGTCAATTTGTGTGTTAATTCCAAGTAACTATTATTTGTATCTTCAGTTTTATTAAACAAACTTCAAAGTTAGAGGTTTAACACACACGCACACTTATATATATAAATATCAATACTTTAACTATACAAAAAAATCGATATGGAAAAAAATAATGAAATAAAATACATTATTAGATAAATGAAACCCTTACAGCAAAATTTACGACATAAGGTACTTATATACTAGCAGCATGCATATAGGAAATGAAATGGTTAGTATATTGTAGACCGCTGCTACATAAACTATAGGTTAAAAGAGATTAATTCGTACGGATGGGCGAACGTAACGTCGGGTGGGCTCTATGCCGAGCAGCTGTAGACTGGGCTCTTTTGACTACATAAACGTAAGTCTTTCACAAGCTGAAAGAGCTATGCCAGTCCAAGAGAAACCTGCCAGAGAAATTGATGAGAAGGAATACGCACTGCTGTGTATCACCAACACTGAGCTCAGATCGTTTGTAACGCAGGTGCGGGCGCTGAGCGTAAGTGTCTGATGAATATGGACTGGTATTGTGGTCTATGCGAATTTATGGAGCACATAAATAAACGGCGTGGATTCGGAGAGAAACCATATCTCAGGGCGGAGTGATACATTGCCCGCAGCACATGAGGAACTCAGTTATAAAAAGAAAAAGCTGGAACGCAACCAACAGCAAATTTAAACTTTCTTTGAAATAATCAATACGAAATATGTCTAAAGTATCAGAAACGTCCAATAAAACGAGTCTGTTTTTTTTATTTTCAATCAAACTTATTAAAATTCGCATTAGAAAAAAAAATGACCAAATGCTATTCATTTCGAAGTGGATAAATAATATACACAAAATAGGAATAGTCCTGAAGTAATTGAATGGGTTATGTAAAAAAAGAAGAAAGCAATCCAAAAGAAAAAAGTCCCAAACAGGATCATTGTATGTAATATAAAATACCTGTACAACAACACGTTTTAATCAAAACGAATAAAAAAAAATAATCATACAGTATCATGTTGTTTAAAATAAGCAGATAAGGTAGAAAAATACTTGACATTTATATGTAATCCATAACATGTTAATCAACACTACTGGGAATAGAATCGTACTAATAAACTAAATTCAGTTGTTAATGAATCAGTTAAGTTAAAATTTTACAGCATCTCAAATTTTAACGTATTAATATTTAAACTGAAAGAAATGATTCATCATTGCAATAACTAATTCATAATGTATAATAACTAATGTATAATATACTTTTACGTGATGACTTTACCTTATAACATTACTTGTCTTTGTCACTTTTGGAACTGGATATAGAGTTGAAGATATACATGTGTACATAAATATCATAACAAAAAAAGGAGAACTTAAGAAATCATACTAGTCATAGAAACGTATTCAAAACAAGAACAGACTGAACGACAGAAATGGAATGGCATAGAAATAGAATAGAAAACTGGACAAACATGTAGTAATATATATATATATATATATATAGAAACAGCAGATATTAAAACAGTCAGACAGGTAGCATATCAAAATACATAAAATTAGATAGACGGTAGAAATATCTATAAAACAAAATAGACGGAAAGACACAGACAAGTACAAGAAGATTTTCAAAAAAGACAGTAAATTGGTAAAAATGATGTACAAATATAAGGTTCATTACATATACAATGAGAGATTGGTATAAGACATCTGACAGAAAGATGTACAAATATAAGGTTCATTACATATACAATGAGAGATTGGTATAAGACAGCTGACAGAAAGATGTACAAATATAAGGTTCATTACATATACAATGAGAGATTGGTATAAGACATCTGACAGAAAGATGTACAAATATAAGGTTCATTACATATACAATGAGAGATTGGTATAAGACAGCTGACAGAAAGATGTACAAATATAAGGTTCATTACATATACAATTACAGATTGGTATAAGACAGCTGACAGAAAGATGTACAAAAGACAACACGTAGACACAGCATTGACAGCAATCGGTGTTAAGCGACTAAAAAACAAATAAACCAATACAAATGGATACATAAAAGTAACGAGATAAGCGTACGAAGTTACTGAACAAGTTGATATATGTATAATAAGTAGCAAGCTAAATAAACAGTTACTGAAAATCAATTCTGTTAACACGGCTGGCCACATTTTGGGTAGCCGCCCTTCTTCAGGTCTAAAGGTCTTATTTCTGAAGACGAAAGCATCTCTGAACCCGAAGAAAACTTCTGTTTCAATTGTGTTAATTAGAAATATTTCTGGGGATACTTTCTTTTAGTTCTATAACCCCCCAATTACATTCCATCGACAACGCAGATATTAATACCGGTAACCAACATATATCTATAGGTTTTTTTACGTCGTTCTACAAAGTATATCACTGAAAAATATCGTATTTGAAAAATAGACTCAAGGTGTTGGGAAAAAAAATAGACGCAAGGTGTTGGGAAAAAAAATAGACTCAAGGTGTTGGGAAAAAAAATAGACGCAAGGTGTTGGGAAATAATAGCCAGTAAAAAAATGCATCATAAAACTAATGAACAAAATTGAGTAAAAAATGCATCATTTGAAAGCACACCCATATAGCAGATATCAGTCTTTATAGAAATTTAATTTGGAATCACTCCCATCATTACGTTAGAATTAGTAGCAGGAAAATTTAAAGTTGTGTACCTAATACGATTTTTTTTAAAAAATTATGTAATTAATTAAAAAAAAGGTACGGAAAAATTCAGAACTAATTAGAACATTTGATTATCTTCTACGTAGGAATGCAATCGAACTTAGACCACTCAGATGGCTTGGATCAATGAGTTTTGCAACTTCAGAGTTTCTGTTATTTATTCACTGTTCTTATCCACAGAGGCGTTATTCACTCGATATAAAATAATAATGTTAAGGGTGTGACCGAAAAAGATAATTTCCATGCACAGGAATATTATTAAATAGGTTAAGTTATCTTAAGCAGGAAGTTCTTAACGATAAAGAGTATAAATCTTTAAAGAAAAACAAACAGGATATCTAACAAACATAAGTTTTCACTTGATGACATCCAATACGTATATTCCAGATTAAAATATCAGTGGATAAGATTATAATCTCTAATAGCAACATCCAAAATAAAATATGTAAAAGTCTGTACCACCTTCAAATAAAAAAAGAAAGAAAAACGTACACGAACAACTAAAAACATAGAATCACTTTCTTTTTTCTTTTGTTGATAAGCACAAAATCATAAACTGTGTGACCATGAAACTTCATAAAATGATAGAAGAAACTACATTCCACTTCAACAAAGATGGGCATATCAAGAGCCGAGTTGCTGAAGCGACGGGGTAACAAACCACACAGACGGGAAGTAGGCGCCTAACTGATGGAATGATGGCATGCGCGAGCCGTGTCTTAGGTCTAAAATACTTTTTCAATCTCCCCTAGAGTGATGTTTGAAACTTTATTTCTGTAGATCTAAACACAGACTCATTTAGGCAGGTTTTCCAGATAATACATGATCTGTATAATAGCTTCTTAGTGATGGATGGCTGCCGTAGTATAGATTAAAGAGCGGCGCACAAAAGGAACATGACGTTTGACTGACGTTCACGCCACAGTCCAATGATTGATAGAAATGAATAAACAGCAGATGGTAGAAGGCTACAAGGGATTTTGCACGAACTGAATTTCCAGGCCCACCCTTTATGGTAAAGGTCTGATGGAGCAGACGTTTTAGAAAAACTTTCACGAAACATTGACGCTGACGCAAGCAACTCAAGACGTTGAAGAGACGTCAAGTTTGACGACATACCCATCGCCTGCCTATCAGGTTGGGCTCATATTGGATTTCCAATAGCGTCCTCGTTTCGCATCTGTGAAACTAGCAAACGTTTTTTCGAGAAAGGTAACACCAAAAATACTTACATTTCATCCTCTTCGGCCGATCTTGTTTGCGTCTCGGCATGCTTCGACGGAGTGTCGTACTATTCCTCTTAGTATTGACAGGCGTTTACACTGAATAGCGCCCCAGAACGGTGATATTACTGTGTACTTTCCGCTGTCGACCTTCCATTCAGTAAACTGTGTGTACGATCTGACGTCAGGAAAACAGGCAGTCGGGACGCTTAGCATCATGGGAACTTCCAACCCTTTGGGCGGATCTAAAGCAACGTTTTGTTTGCAGAGCCATCTAGTGACGACATTTGGAGAACAGAAATACCTGTCTATAAAACTGTAAAACTTTCCAGCTAAAATACATGCTTATCGCTATGAAAATATATATACTTTGTATGATACGTAAACCTTTTTTGCATATATTTGTATATCAGAATCCCAAAACCGATTTAAACAAAAGTATATTCTCATGAACGTACTTGAAAATTATAATAAGATAAAAGAAGAACACTGGTGAAAACATTGTTACTCTGCAGTATTATTTATTGTTTTCAGAGCTTCCATCTTTTTGTCTGCAACATATTTTTGTATAAATTAATAGATAACAGTATATATATATAATACATAAACATAAAAATTATAAAAAGGCACTAAAGTGTCAATTCCAATTACTCCATAGTGTTAGTCGTTAGTGTTAGGTACAGGATTTTCTTCTGCACCACATATAGAATTCATGATCAAGTGAAGGAGTTGAGCTACAGCCCAGAACATCTCCAGCTGTTATTCAGGTTCACTACACTGATTATTTTAACCTAGCAAGCAGGAAAGGATAGTGAACATAAAATGCATTGATGATTTTGAACTTGTCTATAATGAAATCTAATCGAGAGGTTTCTATAGATTATCATTAATCAGCAGAATTTAAACTTCATTGAATGTTGGAGTCTACAGTGACTGCAAAACTGAATATGCCATTAGGGAGTTATGTTTGGTGTGAGTAAATATAAGCTAAATTGCCATAGGTCAACTGGGAACTTTTATATATGCAAAGTTTTTGATTATGTGTATATTTTGGTATCACATCACTCTATAGAACTAGAGACAGTTAAGCATTTATATCTCAGGATTGGGTGTATCTTGGTAGATAACTATAAAAATGAGTAAATTCGAACTTGAGCTTTTGCTTAACTCTGGTGCTACCAAAACTTTCCTCCATCTTGCAGTGTGAGAGACATTCCAAATATAGCTATCATTTTAGCTTCTTAGTACTGACTTTCAATCTGGCTAACAGAAATATGCCAAGAAGTTCAACTCCATCTGGTTATCTGTGTTATATCTTGCAGAATAGGTTATCTCTAATCTTGGTTCAAAGTATTGGAATATTAGGGATGGATATACTTAAAAAGTTTTCTGATAGCCTGTACTGTGAAACAGGTGAGCTACAAAATCTGTGAGAAAGAATAATAAAAAAACAACAACCCTGGAAGCCAATAAGACCCCAGTGCATATAAAAAGGAAAGTCACAGTTTATCCAATGCACGAGTTTTTTCCATGGTGTTATACAGAGTCAGTCAAATGTGTTTTTTCAGACAAGTGTACTGATGGCAACTCATGAAACTTTTTTTTTTCCTGCCCAGAAGTCAGGATGCACTTTTTGATTTAAAAATTGTGTATTTAAAGGTTTTGATTTATTTAATTATAATTTGTAATTATGGATGAATGGCTACTGAACTATTAACTGGAATGGTTATTGGCATAGTGAGTTAAGTAGAAGTAACTGAAACTAGCTGTATAGATAATAATGTAACTTCAGCTACACTACATCTACATACAAATGTACGGATTTTCAGGACATCTTGAATTTCGCAGACGTTCTCAATATAGAATAATGAAATGAACCTAGTATGTTTCTGGTAGAAGTTATGGATATGCTAATAGGATCAGATGGCTGTGTGGTCAGAACAACATTAATATGTGATCACCTAGATATAAGTAATGTGTGTTCGATAAAACATCTACTTTACAGGGATGTTATCAGTGTAGAAACAGAGAAGATGTTGAGGTGTAGAGCGCTTAAACCACCACAGAATGCTTGGTTGTCTCCAATAGTGATAGTGAAGAAGAAGGAAAGGATACCAGGATTCTACACGGAGGGATGTTACCAGTGTAGGAACAGAGAAGATGTTGAGGTATAGAGCGCTAAAACCACCACAGAATACTTGGTTGTCTCCAATAGTGATAGTGAAGAAGAAGGAAAGGATACCAGGATTCTACACGGACTACTGGTGGATGAACATGATAAATCGTATTGACATGTTTCCCTTTTCATGCATAATGATAGATGAATGCTTATAGGTGCGTGTTGGAGGGTTTATTTGTTTTGTTTATGGCAAATTTGTTAAGGCTATTTGCCACTGTCCCTGACTTTGAACTTTCGGCCAGACGGAAGGAAACTGGTCGGCAGCACTTCACCACCAACTCTTTTAATACCGAATAGTGGGATTGATCGTAAGAGTATAACGTCTCTATGGAAGAAAGTGCATGTATTTTGATCCTGCAACTCACATATTGCAAAACGAGAACCCTGGCCACCAGGGCCATGTTCTTCTGACTAAAATTCATTAACATTTTAAATTTTCCAATTTTAGTCACTAAAATGTGCTTTATAACCCTGTGTTGGCTTATTCAAAAACAATTGTCTTTATTCATTATGAACACTGATTGAAATTATAGTAGGAGTTGAGAAAATTTGCCATAAGTACAAGAAGAAATAGTAGAAGATTCACTCTTATAATGGATCATTGAAAATAAATTTTAAAAACATGGAAGCCATGATTGTACATTGGATAATATTACTGCATAAATACAACTTTGATTACACATCATCTAGGACAGCAACTTAATAATACTGTCGCCAAAAAAGAACTTGTTCATTTGTAGAATATTTTGTGCAGTAATCAGAGCTACTTTATTTGCAACCACACGCGTGGTAAAGTTCACAGTATGAAATGGACACTATGAATGAGAAACCAGAAGCTTTTGGAATAGCAAATAAAGAATCTAGAACTGGCTAGGACATTAGTTACTATACAGGAAAATGAAGTGTTACCTTTTCAGATCATTGAATGTACAGCAAAGTCAAACATAACCTCTAACACATGTATCAACAGTTAGGATGCTATATCAGTTGTTTTCTGTGTACGGTAAATACATTTTTACTATCTTCTACTGTGGTCGTCCTTCATTGATCTGTGTAATGATGTGTTGTACAGTGAACAGGAACAAGAAATAATAGTGGATGGGCGAATCACAGTGCAATGATTCATTTTACTGGGTTTATATTTGAGTTTATATTCTTCGTAATATCAACTGAGTGGATTTTTCTGATTGCATTGAAGTAGCAAACCATGTGGCTGACAATGTATTTATCTACTGGAAGCAGTGAATATGAATCCACTAGCTGCAATGGCATATGCCATATTGTTTTATTACTATAGTACATATACCTATCTCCTAATATGGGCTATTATGGTGAATGTTTATATATATATATATATATGGATATAAATGTATCTGTGCACCACACGTCGTAGTATATATATGACATTGTGTATGTGTGTATACATATATATATATACACATAAACACAGAACACAACCATCGGACAACAATAGTTAATCAGATTGTTATTATATTACATTATGCAATTGGAATTTTTCTCAATAGTAAGGTAGTGCAACTGTTGTAATTTATACCAAAACATAGGGAAACAGGCTCGGCATGGCCAGGTGGTTAGGGCGCTCGACTCGCATTCTGTGGGGCGCAGTTTCGAATTCTCGTCCCACCAAACATGCTCACCCTTTCAGCCGTGGGAGCGTTATAATGTGACGGTTACTCCCATTATTCCTTGGTAAAAGAGTAGCCCAAAATTTGGCGGTGGGTGGTATTGACTAACTGCAGTCTTACACTGCTAAATTAGGGACGGCTAGCGCAGATAGCCCTCGTATAGCTTTGCGCGAGATTCAAAACAAACATAAAGGAATCCACTGTTTTAATTGACATTGACGAATAATTTGCTCATTTTAGAACAAGCGAAATACTCGTAAGTAAGCAATGTATCTGGTAAAAAAAATAATAATAATAAAAATCAGCTATTGTGACAGCATGTTAAAGTTTTCTGAATTTACATATTATCATTTTGGAAGTCTTACTAAAAGTTTTTTTTTTATCTTTATGGACAACCTCCCGTTTTTACGCACTTCATTGTGGGCTACGATATAGTTTGAGACGTTTAAGCAATCTGATCATGAAATTATCAAAATCTCTTCAAGTTTTGATAAGCCTGTTAGAGTGTCATATTAATGGTGGGAGGTAAAATCCGTACAAATGGACCATCTATGGTCAGAAGGTAGTGGCTGATGCTTTTAACCATAGTTCAGTTGACGTTCATAGGGAAATTTTACTTAACTTACTCACTGTCTCTCTCCCTATCAGTGGACCCGACACTTTGCTGTGTGTAATCAGATACTGGTGGGAGATTTTGTATTTTGAGTTGGCAGCCAGCTGCAGGGAGTTGTTTTGGGGCAAATCACATCTCTGAATGAAACATGACAGTCTCATTGTACTAACCTTATGAATCCTGAATGGATCGACATATTTACAGGTGTTAAGGTTTACTACACACAGCTTTTAGTATAAGTTATATGCGTGTATTATTACTCAAGAGAAGTTACACATTCTCAGATGTTTATTTCTTTCACATCTTGTTCATAATTTAGCCCTATAAGTTTATGATCTATCAGAAGTTGAGTTTGTACAACACTTTTAGCCCTTAGTTTTACTGTAAAAGGCTATGTTTTGGTTACTTTGATCTTTTTTATTTTTAAACTTTGTAAATGTTTAATTAACCTGCTGAAGATCGAAATCAACTTTGCCTTGGTAATGATAAAAAATTGATGACTTGCTGCTACCTTTCACTCCACTAACTCCGACAAATGTGAAGCCACAACTGATGTTCCAGTTGAAATGTTAGCACAAGTTCTATTTTTTAATGATGATAACAGAAAAGTCACCAAAAAAATCCAGTATAATACTTCGATCTGTCAGGAACTGTAAAGAGAAATGGAAACATAAGGGAAAACTTTGTCCATACCCCTGA